GGGACTCGATCCCGGGACTCGAGGATCATGACCTGAGCCGAAGGCAGTCGCTTAACCAACTGAGCCACCCAGGCGCCCTCTACTACATAATCTTGAGCAAACTACTTTTATCTCTCTGTGCTTTAGTTTTATTATTCTTGATCAAATAGACATAACAAACATCTCCCCTGTCTATGTCAAAGGGTTTGAGGAACAAATTGAATATATATACATATATAGGCACATTATATATTTGTACCTATCTGCACATAGGAAAACCTGAAAGGCACCAAGCCCATCAACACACTGGTCTTCCAAGATCCCAAAAACAGTGGGGCTGGAGGAATATACACAGTCGAGGTGCTGACAGGGTAGCCAGCACAAATAATGGCAGCTTTTACTGGTGGTGCCTTTTCCAAGTTGCTCTAGCCTATTGGAGGCACTAGGAGGCTTAAAGCCCAGACAGGGAAGTGGGAATGGAGAATGAAAATAAAGGAGCTAAGAGGACCAACAGAGAGAGAGCTGATGGACTGAGAAAGAAGTAAAAGGTATATATGGTATAGCAGAAAATGTCACCCCTACAGGCCCTGGCAGCTCACAACACTGGGTGGCAAATGCCAACTGGTCTGCAGGGCCTCATAAACCTGGCCTTTGGAATCACCAATGAAGGGGACCGGAGGTGACCAAGTTCAGCTTGCCTCACATGACCCTGGCCTGACGGCTTTCAAAGGCTGGTGGTGGTAGACTCCACCAGTAGGGAGGAGACCCACTGCTGCTCTCAGCAAGCCCCCTGGGAGAGGCCAGCCCCACACCCCAACACCACTGAGTCTGTCCACAATCCACAGGTAGCCTGGCGTATGCTCTCATGATCTTCTCAGAAGGGAGACAGGCCATACACAGGAGGCTCTAAATGACTCCTCAAGGCCCGGCTCTCAGTTGACATGCCCCTAAGCCCTGGGCTTTTGAGGAACTCCAAGGCTGCTGTACATTCGCTCAGGGGTTCCCAAACCTGGTTGTATGTCACAGTCAATGGGAAGCCTTTCAAAAATTTTCCAGACTCCAGGAGTACCTGGCTAACTTAGTCAGTAACGCATGCAACTCTGGATCTCGGGGTCATGAGTTCAAGCCTCATGGTGGGCACAGAGCTTACTTTAAAAAAAAGGGAGGGGGGAGTGCCTGGGTGGCGCAGTTAGTTAAGCGACCAACTCTTGGTTTCAGTTCAGGTGGTGATCTCGGGGTTGTGAGATCAAGCTCCGTCTGCTTCAGATTCTCTCTCTCTTTCCTTCTGCCCCTCCTGCTCATGTGCTCTCTCTCTCTCTCAAATAAATAAAACTTTTTTTAAAGATTTTTTTTTTTTTTATTTCACAGAGAGAGAGAGTGAGTGAGAGAGAGAGCACAAGCAGGGGGAGAGGGAGAGGGAGAAGCAGACTCTCCACTGAACAGGGAGCCTGATGCAGGCCTCAATCCCAGCACCCTGGGATCAGGACCTGAGCCAAAGGCAGACGCTTACTGACTGAGCCACCCAGGCGCCCCTCAAATAAATAAATCTTAAAAAAATCCCAAAAAAACAGACTCCAGGTGGAGTGAGTAACTGATTCACTAAATCTTGTAGAAGGCGGAGGCAGGTGAGGGTGGGTGTGTGTTCCAGACAACTCTAGTTCACAGGCATGTGTAAGGACCTCTGCTTTCCCTCCTGCAGGACTTACCTTCTCAATCTTGTCAGGGTCTGATAGCAGAGCAGCTCCCATTCCTCCCTAAGGAAAAGCACACAGAGGGTCTTCTTATAGCTGGAGAAGGGTGGTCCCTCCCATGGTATGGCAACATGGTGTGGCAAGCCGGCACCACCCCGGGACTCACAGCCCAGAGACCGAGCTTCACTGGCAATTGGCACTTCTAGTCAAGTAGGAAGCAGCAGCATCCAGGCCCATAATGTCAGGGATCAGAGTTGGATGAATTCTAAAAGTCATCACTCTGATCCTCTTAGCAAAACCCACAGATCTAGCTACAAGTACGTTCCACAAATGTTCCTCAGGAGTGCCTGTTCCCTACCCAGGGTCTCAAGGTCTTAATAAACTAAACCGCACAGTATGGCAAGCCCTTAAGAAAGCAATGGATTATTCTCCCTTTGGAATGAAATCCAATACATCTTCATCCTATCCTCCCAGCACTTGTTTTGGTACCTTCACTGCCAGCAAAGCCACTTAGAGGAACATAACCTGAAAACCTTGCCCAGGCTCCTCTTCCCTGCCAGCAACAATCCTCCAGACTGACGTCAAGCTCTAGCAAAAGCCCCAGCTAACGGAAACCAACAACCCGAGGAGCCACTTAATTCTTGACGTTAACAACAGTAGCTGCCTCTTGATGGTGGGATTGTTGATGATTGGTCTTTTTTTATACTTTCCTATATCACACAAGTTCTGGACAATGGTATGAATTACCTTAATAATCAGGAAAGGGGAGGACCTCTACAAAGCTGAACCCGTCAAAAAATGAGGTAAAGGGAAAAAAACCAAACCCAATAAAGAAATCCCTTGTCAGTACATAGACTGCATATAATGAATGCTCACAGGATGTGCTCAGAAGTGTGAAGTTCACTTATTACAGTTTAATTTCATATTTAAGGGTGACAGGTTAGAATCCAAGAACCCTGAACCACCGCAGACTCGCCCAGGCAGAGCCTGCATTTCAGAGGAGACTGGGAAGGGTGGAGGAGCTACCAGCCCTGCTCTACCTTGGCCACAAATACAAACCTCAGAAGCCTTAAGGAAGCCCTGGCTGCTCACCCCCGGCTCCGTTCGTCCACCTCACACACAGTCACAGTCCTTCCTTGTGGAAATCACAGGATCTAAAATCCAGCCCTTCCACAACAATGGCTTTGTCAATTAGTATTCCCTTCCTTCCTTCCTTTCTATTTAACTTACTTGCTTTTTTGAATACGTAACATGTTAAAAATTTTAAAGGTTCAAAAGGGTAAAAAGTAAGAACTCCCCTTCCCTGAGAAATGGAAAACTTTTCCATTTATACTTTTCATAAGGCTTCAATTTTCGAGCCATGAGAAGAGAGTGGCTCTTCAGGGGGGATGTAGTGGTATACACACTGGGAGCTATCTGTTCTGACTGGTCAGGGCCAGTGCCGTGCCAGATGTTAGCTATTTTGAGGAGCACCCCTACAATGGGAATTTATTCCTTATGCCAAACCAAATAAAGACTTGATTTCCTTCCCCAGGGAAAACCAGTGTCACTAGTTTCTTGTGTGTCTTTCCAAATAGATTCTATGAATAGAAATGTAAACATATATAAATATCATCCCTCATATATAAATGGTGGTATACCATATCTAAATTGGCTCCTTGCTTTTCCATGCCACAATGTATCAGGGAGATTATGCCAATAATTTAAACTCTGCTCTTTACATATCTCAGAAGTACAACGGAGTAATTAGAAGACAGCAAAACAAGGTCCCAAGTTTTCAACTCCTCACAGACAATTTCAAACCTCCATAATTCCTTAAGGTAGCTATCTACAAGGCCCTGTGGTTTTCAAGCATCCAAAAAGCCTTTCCTTCAAGTAATCTTTGGCCTCCTGGCCTAAAGCCAACATCCCCAAGCCACGTAGCTCCAGGGAACAGAGTGGCTGACTCTGGGCGGTGGATCCAGGGGGACATCTGCTATGTCTACACTGCAGACCCTGACCGCACATCCTGTGATAAGGTTCCCAGCAGCAGCCCCACAGGACTCTCTCTGGTGCCTCACATGCAGCCAACCCCAAGCTGTCCTTGTTATCTGCCCCAAACATGCTTTTCTTCCAGCAGTCCCAATCATGTGGAAGACAAACTGTCCTCCTGGCTACTGGTCTTTCCTCCCTCTACCCCAAACACTCACTCCACCTCCCCCCACCCCGTCCAATCAACTGCCAGCCAAGTCCTATCAAATGCTGCTCTCTCTCTCCGTTTCACTTCTCCTCTCTCCGCCAGGACACTCATCTCCTGAATCTGTGTCCCTACCCCTAGCCCATTTCCACTCGAATCTACCAGACATGGCTTTCAAATTAGTATTTCTAAGTATTTCTATCACAGAATATATTTGGAAAGACACACAAAGAAACTAGTAACGCTGGTTTCCCCTGGGGAAGGAAACTAAGTTTCTGATCACATGGCTCCTCTGTTCCAAAAGGCAGAAATATCAAAAGTCCAAGTTCCGCTAATCTGGTCCTAACCAAGGTTTTCAATCCTGTGCTCTTCTGCTTCCTCTTCGTTTTCCACGCCCCAACTCTCTAGTCAAATCAAGGTTCTCTGCCTCTGCCTCATGCTGGCCTCTCCAGGGCCCCTGCCTGTGACACTCCCTCTGCCTGCAGGGTCCCAGATCCCCTCATCAAGGACCACATCTCCGTAGAAGATACTTAATTTAAGGGCTGCCTTTCCACTCCTTTCTCCAAGCTGCCCTAGCACTCTGCTCTGATCTTCTGATATGACAACAGGCACACATGTATTGCATCCTCTATTCTTTTTAGTGTACATCTTGGTTTTATTCATGAAAAAACAAAGCCCTGTTCATAATTTTTTAACATTTACATCATTAATTACTCAGGCATGAGTGCTTTGTGTTTATTTAGGTGTGTATGTGTATGTAAATAAAATTTTTCCTGAACCACTTACAGGCAAGTTACATTGTATCACAGCCCTTTACAACTAAATATTTGTGTGTATTTTCTAAGAATAGAGATATTCTTGGGGCACCTGGCTGGCTCAGTCGGTAGAACGTGCGACTCTGATCTCAGGGTTGTGTGTCTGAGCCCCACGTTGGGTATAGAGATTACTTAAAAATAAAATCTTGGGGCGCCTGGGTGGCTCAGTCGTTAAGCGTCTGCCTTCGGCTCAGGTCGTGATCCCAGGGTCCTGGGATCGAGCCCCGCGTCAGGCTCCCTGCTCAGCAGGGAGTCTGCTTCTCCCTCTCCCATTCCCCGTGCTTGTGTTTCCTCTCTCGCTGTGTCTCTCTCTGTCAAATAAATAAAT